TTCACCTCGTCGGATATCCCAGGCTCCTTCTGTGTCTTCCCCCATATGGACAACTCCAGAAAATCTGTCTCTTCCTCGTGGAATCTTGTCATCAAGGAGCTACACAACCAGCATGACTGTTTTTGAGGAGTCTGATTCTGACACCACAACCGATGATGAATACTATCTTGATAATGGTGATGTGGTAGAAACAGAACTTTAGAGGAGAGAATTATATGTTGTTCAATTCCATCATGTTACATAAACTGGAGTATAGATTTCTATACTAGAAATCCAGATTGTATATGAATAGAAGGAATTATAGTTATATCAGAACTATAAGACTGTTGATTTCATATTTCTTGTTATAAATTAAATATAATGGGTTTTTGAATACTTTAGTGCTTGAGGATAACAATGTTTGATTTCATTATGAATGTATTTACAATACAGTACAATGCACCGTTTCATTAATGGGGTGCTGTGTGTACATTAATGAGGAAAAAAAATAACTTAAATGATTTTAGCAAATGGTTGCAATATAACAAAGAGTGAAAAATTTAAGGGGGTCTGAATACTTTCCGTACCCACTGTATATATTTTCTGGATCTTGAGGCTTTGAAATGGTGAATTCTCATGTCATTCCTTTTATTGAGGCCTGCCTCCTGTAGGTTATTGGCTGTTTCATTCACTGTGGCATTTGAAAGAAAAGCGTGTCAGTCACAATACATTATTTTCCTGACAGACATTATATAGTCAGAAGCCGCCAACCAAGAAACTGAACCCCAACTATGTTTAATATATGTATTTGAATTTTTTTCAATACTGCTGCTTTAACAGTCCGAAAAAAATATTGAATAATAGAAAATAGAAAAATGTAATATTGGTGCCCGCGACACTGATGATTCCACATTAATTACATTAATTATGGCTAAGTCTGTAAAGAAGATGTTGTAACAGATGTCTGCTGTCCATTTGATATTATTGTTAAAAGTATGAACGTGTTATTGAAAACTGTGGCTGATCCTCATCCACGACTTGTTAATTTGAGGTTCAAACACAGGACCTCTCACAATCTATGCAAAAGACATACCACAGATGAACTAAGCATTCTTTTTAAAAAAAAGACCTTACAGTTGATTTTATTTGCTCTATAATTTAATTTTGTTGTTTGTGTGTGGCTTTCAGTGTAATTTTAATTGATCTTTTATTGTAATTTATTATGCAGGGCAGGGGGTTGGGGCATCATTTCTCCCCTATAGCCTTAGGGACCTCCATAAGACCTGTCAATTGCAGCACTGACCTACAGTACTACTAAATGCTGTGTAACATAGGTCTACATATGTAAGGTTCTTTTTGTAAGGCCATTTCTTGAATGTCTTCATTAAAACAGTTATATTTATGAACATTTAATGTATTGACTAAATTGTATTTTTTCTAACACAGAAGTAGAAGAATATTGATCACTTGTAAAAATGACTGTAAATGACTAACTTTGGACAAGACGGTTAACTGCTACGTTAAAATTTGATTAGCAAGTACACTCTAGTCTTAGTAAACTTGTTGTCTAATAACACAGAAACTCTTAATTGCAGCTTATTAAAAAGGCCGACACTGTTACGTGTCACAACCTGCCATAATTGTACAATGAACAGTTATATGAGAGATGCAACTAATTTGCAAATCGATGTTTCAGTAATAGTTGACAGGTTTACGGATCAAGCAGTAGGTCTGTTTTGTTAGAAAAAAATCATGACTGTCGTCAAAGGTCAAAATTTTGAGTATTATTTTTTTACGAATTAGTGAACGATGTCACAATCCTTAACTTTTCGCAACCTACTGTCGTAACGATGTAATCTGCTGAAAAGGCCACTGAACGAATCTTTTAGTTAAATGAATCTCCTAGTCGACACACAGTTTTCCATTTAAAAAATGTCTTTTGGATAGAACCTCGTATTTCTAGCTTTCTAGCATGGAGTTAAATGAGGTTGTTTTCACGTTGCTTTGGTAACGGCTGTTGTACGCGTGCAGTCACCCGTCCCAATAAAGGAATCAAGTCATACTGTATGTCTAGGCTTTATTATTTAACTCCTTCAATGTTAAGTTTAGTCTTTGGTTGCAGTTTTAGCTCCCTTTACGTTTTTTTTTACTTCCGCTTGATGCGACTTCAGCGATGTCATTGTGAAAATCCAGTTCACGATTTTGTTTACTCTTTGATAATCACTGGATGGGTTTGATTTCAGTATTATAGATATAATAAGGATAAAACGCTTTATTTTTAATGCATTGCCTATTTTAAGCACCTTCTACCTATTAAACATTTTGATTCAGGTATTTGAAGCATATTGGCTAATCTGTTTCTAGTGAATGAAGAGGACTCCAGAGATCAAGTAAGTAACATTTTTTGTGGGCTGAGTGGTTTTAAAAACCAACCGTCTTAATTTTGAATTGAGTATATGGATGGAGTTAAATGTAGCCTAATAATCCAATAAAATAATCATAATCCTTGTTGAATAAACCCATTTCGCTTTCCTTGACATGGCAGAGGTTTAATCAGGGTGCAGAGCTTTATCCTCAGTTAAACAGTATAATTTATAGGTTATGTTTTCTCTATTACTTTTTTTTTCTTTTCAGAATTGTTCCTTTTCGGCTAATTGAAATGTAAATCCATGTTAATGTTTCACAGAATGCACTTTTTTCTCTCTTTTTATCCTTTAGCAGCATGTGCTAGCATGAACAAGAAAATGACTGAACACGCATACTCCTTTGACAGGTATGAAATACAGCAACAACCAAAAATACAGACTCATTTCTAAATGAGTGAAGCAAGCAATAGAAAAAAAAAACTGTCAATCATTTTTTCCCCTTTAGGCATCACTCAACATCTCCAGCTGGGGAAACTACATCAGACACTAATGTCATACTTGTCCCACAGCTGGAACCGGCTTTCAGCAGAGCAGCCAGGATCATCCAGCGAGCATGGAGGGCACATGTTGTTAGTGATCACACTCAACTTTAATGTTACATTTTCTTCAACATATAACTGAATGCATAAATAAAAAGTAGTGCATACTATGTCTGTCACGTGTAGGATACTGCTGTTTTCAAGCACCTCAAGAAACTAGTGAGCTTTCATAATCAAGGGGATCCACGTCTCCTCCTTAGATTTATTAACCCTGCAGAGGTAAGTTTGTTACAATGCATGTGCGAAGATTGAGATGCTTTTCCTCTTTTTTTTGTTTTTTTTAATCATGCCTGAATGCTTTGTTGTAGGCTAATATTCTGGATGCTGCTTCAGGGGCACTTATCCGATTCAGACTGGGTGGGGTGAGTGTTGATGTTATTCATTTTTCCATGATTAGATGGTCATTTGTACTCAAGAACATGCTGTAATGTGTTATTGTGTTCTGCTCTAGAAGGTTACGTTGTTGAAAATCAAATTATAAGCAAATTGCAAATTACTTACTAATGTTTATAAAATTCCAGCCAACCTATCCTCCAAACATCTACTTTAAAATATACACTCGTGCACCCATAGTGGACATGTGTGCCTCCAGTCCTAAAGATTACACACAGCTAAAGAAACCTGCTCCAAGCCGGATTCATAATGGCCGACTGATGATCAATGACAGGGATGATCACTCTGGGTGGTACCAGCGGGTAGAGAACAATGGCTGGAGGATTTTGTCTTGCAAGGTGACATATCCAGTCATAATACTTTCATTTTAATTTTACCTTTTGTATATCAGTGCAATTCAGTAAATAAAACATAACCAACCAAACATTCAGCAGCCATTACTGCACTCCATAAATTACATTTTACACAATATAATATTACTGTTTTTACTGTATTTTTGATCAAATAAATGCAGCCTTGGTCAGCATAAGAAACTAATTTCTACTGTTTCATGTACAATTTAAATTGTAACAGTCAGAAAAATATACAAATGTTGCCTAAGCATTATATCACTGCCTTTTTGATTAAAGATTTCTGTGTTTGAAGACCCAATAACTCAAGATACCAATGTTAAGAAGATACAGTTCCATCACTGCAAAATCCATCGGCGACAAGATGTTGCAAGAAAAAAGAAGATTCGGAAAATTGAATGGATGAGAAAAATGTAACGTATTTTAAAAATGTATTTAAAGTAGCCGTTTAATTGTTTGTGATAGGTGATAAGATGTGTTCTGCAGAGCTAATCATAGAGAAAACTGGAAATACGTTATGAATGATGGCATAATAGTAAACACAGATCTTGTGCACAGGTATGCTGAGGGTCTCCTGCAAGCTCATACAGAACACAGCGAAACAGCTCTGCTGGTGCAAAAATCCACAGAGTTGATGGATTCCTTTGACCAGATTGGACCAGATTCAGTTTCTGAGCAGGACGTAGATGAGCTGCTCGAATGGACCAAAGCTCTCAATTTTGATGAGTAATTGAGCTAATATCACATTAGATGTGATATACTGTACTTGGCATCATCACTTTTTCATCATCATGGTAGTCATAAAATATCCCATTTAGAATATTTGCTTGTCTCTCAGGTATATCAATGAATGGAGGAATTTGGGTACCAGCAAATGCTGCATATTTATCAAAGGTAAGACTTTTGGGTGTTCCCTCATTCAGCGTTATTTATGAAATAAACACTTTTGTTGCATTGTAGCTCCCTCTACTGGTCAAAATGGGTATCCACACTTCTATTTTTCTCGCTATAGATAGGCTGTCGGAGAGCGACCAGAAGGACTTTGCCTGTGTCTCTGTGCGTGATGTTTGTGAGATTCCTCAGATCAGTCAGGATCCAGTGGTGAGCCAACATCTGGATCACATCTGAGGCTGGAATGTATCATGCAGCTCTAATAATATATTGCACAATCTGATTAGCTTTATTAATTTGAATAAATAAAGCAGGTCATGTGTTTCGACTAGTTTTGTGTGGTCAAATACATTTTAAATATATGATTTATCCTCTCCTTAAAAAAAAAAAAGTTTTACAGCGGTATGCAGGGTTGTCATTAACTAAAGCTAAAACCATAAAAACACACATTTCCATTACTTGAAATAAAATAAACATTATTACAATCAATATTTCAGCAAGTTGACAAGCTTTTCCTTTTCGCTTGAATTTGAAGTACTACAATAACTAAAAGTAAATACTATTAAAAACTATAGGCCTGTAGCTATACATTTATTTAGTCATTTAGCAGACGCTTTTATCCAAAGCGACTTACAAATGAGGACAATAAAAGCAGTCAAAACTAACAAAAGAGCAACAATATATAAGTGCAAATGACAAGTCTCGGTTAGCCTAACACAGTACACGTAGCAAGGTATATATATATATATATACACAATCATATACATATATATATGTGCGCTTGTACATGTGTATGCATATGCACATACATATACAGTGGGAAACCCCTCTTCCTTTGCTTCATAGTGGCCTTTAATTAACCCCATAAACTCGCTCATGCAGTTCCCTGTTAGCATAGACAGAGGGCGCTCTTTAACCGCATGAAATTTCATTTGGTTTTAATACAAGTAGGCTATGTAGTCAACAACTCAGACTTACTGTGGTAGTAAGGAGGCCGAAAGGTGTGATCAGCTACACCCCAACGAGGAGGAAAGATGACAAAATCTGCAATGGCCACACCTGGACGTGTGGATTTGGCTGTCAAAACGGTGAAAATCGACGGATCCTGGAAATAAAGATTCAGGTAATTTGATGGACTGTTCAAATGTAGTGATTTTAAGACGTCAAATGAAGCAAATGACTTACTGCGTGATCAAACGCCACACAGTTGATGGCCATGAAGTTTTCCAGGTTGTATTTGTAGGGTGTGTAGTTTCCGTGCCATGCCACCACATTAAACGGCGAAAAGTCCTATTTGAACACATTTAAAATGACAAAACATGGGTACTGTAATAATACACCACGTAATGAATTTCTGTAGGCTTTGAGTAAATAATCAATAGTAATGTCAAACGTCCAATCAATGCCCTCAATAATAAAGCGTTTAAACGGCATCGTTTTTTGACGCTCCTGCACTTGAAATAGTAGGTTACGGGGCGAAGAAATGTCTTCGTTAAAAACCGCAATTTTATACACCCTATGCTTGATAATGTTGCAGCAGACAGATTTTGAATGCTGCCTTCAAAATCAATATAATTCATTACAGCTGAGACTGCCTGCTGTCCTGACCCTCATGCGCCCTCCTGTTGTTTCAACCCACCCACATGTACAAACACACACACACCCACCAACCAACCAACCAACCAACCAGGTAAAACATCAGCCACTGTACACACAAACACAAATCCAGCGACTCAAACAAGAACATGACTCTTTTTTCAGTTACATTCAGTCACACAAAGACGCTCTCGGTGCACCCTGGGGTTTCTGGGACCCCGAGGTTTGTAATCTCACAGGCATAACAGTTCACAGGATAACTCTACCAGACTCTATTAAAATGAAGAAAAAAAACTCATACACACAAAACACAAACATATTTCCCCAGTCAAGCAAATAATAAGCTAATTTAAGCAATTTTAGCACTCAGTTGGAGGACAAAACAACAGGATAAGGCTTTACCTTCTCCTTCAAGACTAGACTGTAAACCATTTAAGAGAGTACAGACGGCGAGACCTGTGTATGCTCAACTATAGATGCGTGCTCTCTGCATGTTTTTAATTTTTCATTACAATGAGTGATACTGCCTTGTGATGCTACTTTTGCTGTCTCTAATTTGCTCCTGACTGCCATAACAAGTCAATTATTCACTCATCAAGACAGGGAAATAAATTCAGTGCAGAATGATGCTTGAAATCTTGGTCTTATTAAAGACATATCCTGCATGGACAAATTGTACATTTTGTGTGTAATCTAACATTCAGTGCCTCATTGATGTCAGCAATGTTAGCAATGGGAATTACTACTGACGCAATCATTTCACGGCACCTGTTGACATGAGAAGAGCTTTCCTTGGTACTTGTTGACAACGGTGTAACCTGTGGCTACAGTACGGTCTTCGTACCAAGCCACAGGTGTTTGGAAGTCCCTAGGGTTAGCCAGTCCATTAGCCCCTGCAATGCACAACCAAATTAATAGACTTTTCCCAGCTTAAGCTTATGAAAGTTCATGTTATTCAAAGGCATTAAAAAATTAATTGTGTTGTACATACCTATAGGACCCAGGTCAGGCAGCTCAAAGTGGGCCCCAAACACCTCTAGAATGTACCCCCTGGTTTCTCCAAACACATCAACACTAAAACGCATCCCTTGCTGGGAAAGAGTATGTAAAAATATATATATTTTAAAAATGGAGTTTCTGTGTTGTTTATTGGAATATTGAATGCAAACTTGAATGTAAAATACCATTCAAAAGTTTGGAGTCAGTAAGGTATATTTTCCTGAAGTATATTAATACTTTTATTCAGCAAGGATGCATTAAATTGATCAAAAGTGACAATAAAGCCACTTATAGTGTTACAAGAGATTTCTGTTTCAAATAAATGCTGTTCTTTTGAGCTTTCTATTCATCAGAGAAATCAGGGTGAAAAATTTATAACGGTTTCCACAAAATCTATTAAGCAGCACAGCTGTTGTCAACATTGAAAATAATTTAATAGGATTATGTGACACTGAAGAATCAAGTATTTGCTGCTGAAAATTCAGCTTTGCCATCACATTAATAAATTACATTTAAAAATATTAAAATAGCAGTTATTTTATTTATTGTAGTAATATTTCACAATATTACTGTTTTACTATATTTTTGATCGAATAAATGCAGCTTTGGTGAGCACAAGAAAAAAAATTGTACCAACAACTTTTTCTTATAGATATCTTATAGATACCTGAATGACACAAATCTCATTGGGCTCCACCATCATTTTCCCAAATTCTGTAGTAATCAGGATTTCACCTTGTTGGGGCACTGAAACACAAATTGCAGCCCTAATCAAAAGGAACTACTACTACAAAAATCCAAATTACATATTAAACCTGAAAAATATATTTTTTAAAAATATGCCATAAATAACGAGACCACAAGCTTACCAATAAGGAAATCACCATCTGCATTTTGGAAACACCTATGAAAAAAAAGTACCAATTTAAAAAAAAACACTGTACAGAGAAGGGAAATGAAATCATTGGTGAGTTGAATCCAATTCAAACTGACTTGTCAGTCATTGATGTGTTGCAGGTATACATGTGGATGGCGATTCCATTCCGAGATTTTGAATCTCCAGCTCCACAGACTGTGTGTAGACCCTGAAAATATCAAACCGATGACAATAGGCATCACTGAGAACTATTTAAATATGAAGGCCATATGAGCAGTGTGGACAAGGATGAAATCTTTTACCGATATGAAATCCACTTTATTCTCAGAAGATTTGGGGATGATAAACGGCTTCCAACGGAGCTGGTTGGGGTCGGGCTCCACTTCATTCCAGTTCTCTGTGAGATCTCCACAGCTCATCGGAGTGAAAGGCTTGTGGCGCACAGAGGGTAAAATGCGGTACAGCCAGCTATAAACATAAAAGTTTGCTGTGATAATTTCTTACAAATCATAAGGGTTTAGGTTTGATTGTTATGTTACATACTGTTGTTTGTTTTAGTTTTTTTTTGCAAATCTATATATACCTTCTCTTATTGGTCGACCGTGGGCAAGTGAAGGCAGAACCAGAGAGTTGCTCAGCATATAGGCCATATGGACACACTTGTGGATTGTTCTATAAAACAATAAACTAAACTGAGTTGATGTGTAAAGTTAATTGGTCAGGCCAGGTAGGTGATAAAAGTTGTGGTATTACCTGTCCCTCAGGTAGAGATCCTGGACAGCGAGGGTCCTCGTTGGCAAACTCATTTCCAAAACCGCTCATGTACTACAACAGAGTTATTTGAAAAGTATTAAGTATGAGTTTTATTTTTTAAGAACAAAAAGTGGCAAAATGTGATAAAAGAGAATAGAAAACACAAAAGAAGCTGTGTAGGGCCATCTGAGTATCTCCCCCTTCCTACGAGTGAGCAACAACAAATGTGCTTAGTCATGGTGCATCTGCAGATGCATACAGAGCAGCTCTTAAACATCTCAAATAAGTCTGTAACTGAAAACATAACATATGGAGGAGTTAAATATGACAATAGCCTCATAGGAATTAAGATTTCACTTTAAAATTGAATCTAAAAACATCTGACAAGCTAGTTGATGCCAGTTGTTTACAGTCTAGTTCTCTACAGGTAGGCAGTTGAGAACAGCAAGAGTCTACTTTAATAGATTGTCAGATTTACTTTGACTTTCGGCTTTTGTTTTATAAAACGAGCATTCTGTTGAAAAAGCATGCATAAACCTAAAGGTTTTGTGCAGCCTACAGTTTATGTAGCCTAGAGCCGAGATTAACCTCATCTGGGCAGCTGCAGATTCCAGTGATCTGATTGGCCAAGTTGGAACGCCCCCTCCTCCTCGGTTCTTTCGAACAGTTCGTTTCAAAGAATCGATTCAGATGATCAATTGATCGATGTCCCTGGCATTGTATATCTACATGTTCTGAATCATTCCAAATAAAGTAATATACTTACTGTTTAGGTTTTATTTATTTTGGTGTTTGCTGTAATGTCATGTGTCCCACTTAAGCTTGTTGTTCCATTCTATATTTCAGCTTATGAAACTATAAAGTCTCATTTTACATTTCGTGAACTGCTCTTAAAGATAGATTGTCTCGTGAGTCGTGAATAGATCTTTCAGGGCAAAAGCATCTTCAGACGTTTTTTAGGCTGAAGATGGTATTTGGAAGCGCAGTCCAGACCGGTTTTGTGAATCGCCTCTACCTATTAAAAAAAAAAGATCCGACTCAAAAGAGAGCTTCGGATCTCACTATGCTCTTAGGATGTACCGGTGAGTTTACAGAGCTGTTCTAAACATAATAAACAAGCAGAGGGTTTTGCTATTGGTTTATGTCTAAATAAAAATGAAGAAAAAATTATTTAATGAAAGTGAGCTATAACCTGAAAAAGATTGTGAATAAAACTCTATTACGATATAATTACGATAGGCTGTAAGTTTGAACTTATAATGATTTATTTTAGACAAGCATTCGTCCATGAAGTCCAAAGTGCACTTACCTTCAAACCAGCCATTGTTGCGTTATTTACAATTGCAGCCTAGTGATATATAAACTTGCAACTTTCCACAGAAGATCTTCAGGCAGCACTGGTCCCTTGAAACCGCTCGTACCGATCCCGCGCTCTCTTGCAGCAGAAGACCGAGGGAGGAACTTGGGTCGTATTTACGTTTTTCTCAATATGGTTTTAATTAGACACAGACTCGGCTCGTGACGCAACCAGAGATTTGGGCAACGTTTAGGAGGGGAGGGGAGGTTTGATGTTCACAGATCGTGCAAAGAATGACCCCTGGCACAGGTACAGCAAATGTCAGTTAAGGCAAGATCGTAAAGTCCCGTTCTCAGTCCTTTAACAAATGCACGTAGGCCTATTTCTTGTTCAATATAGAGGAAACCAAGGAATGTTAAAGCGTTTTATTAGTAGCCTACTGTAGCTGCATCTGTTTGGATTTTTAATCTCCAAGTTTCACAATGCATCTGAAATTGTAATATATTGTTACCATATTTGTGGAAAATTATCACAAAAGTTCAAATGTATTTCAATGTAAAACAAAAAACTAAATCGGAAGCAAATAAGGATACAAAGGCTACGTTAATTGCATTTACACTGTTGTAAATGTAGGCCTACACTGTCTTTTTGCGATTAGTTTTTTTTGTGTCCAGTAAGTAGCCTACATTATAAAGTAGTGTCACAGCCAGTGTTAAGTTTAATGCTTTACTAAGCAATTACTGTTATTTAATTACTTTTATCTTGAAAAAGTAAAGTAATGGATTACTCTTGTTTTTCTGTGATTTGTGACCCTGGACCACAAAAGCAGTCATAAGGGTCAATTTTTCTAAATTGAGATTTATACAGCATCTGAAAGCTGAATAAATAGGCTTTCCATTGATGTATGGTTTGTTATGATAGGACAATATTTGGCTGAGATACAACTATTTGAAAATCTGGAATCTGAGGGTGCAAAAAAATCTAACTATATCAATTGATCGATGTCCCTGGCATTGTATATCTACATGTTCTGAATCATTCCAAATAAAGTAATATACTTACTGTTTAGGTTTTATTTATTTTGGTGTTTGCTGTAATGTCATGTGTCCCACTTAAGCTTGTTGTTCCATTCTATATTTCAGCTTATGAAACTATAAAGTCTCATTTTACATTTCGTGAACTGCTCTTAAAGATAGATTGTCTCGTGAGTCGTGAATAGATCTTTCAGGGCAAAAGCATCTTCAGACGTTTTTTAGGCTGAAGATGGTATTTGGAAGCGCAGTCCAGACCGGTTTTGTGAATCGCCTCTACCTATTAAAAAAAAAAAGATCCGACTCAAAAGAGAGCTTCGGATCTCACTATGCTCTTAGGATGTACCGGTGAGTTTACAGAGCTGTTCTAAACATAATAAACAAGCAGAGTGTTTTGCAATTGGTTTATGTCTAAATAAAAATGAAGAAAAAATTATTTAATGAAAGTGAGCTATAACCTGAAAAAGATTGTGAATAAAACTCTATTACGATATAATTACGATAGGCTGTAAGTTTGAACTTATAATGATTTATTTTAGACAAGCATTCGTCCATGAAGTCCAAAGTGCACTTACCTTCAAACCAGCCATTGTTGCGTTATTAACAAATGCAGCCTAGTGATATATAAACTTGCAACTTTCCACAGAAGATCTTCAGGCAGCACTGGTCCCTTGAAACCGCTCGTACCGATCCCGCGCTCTCTTGCAGCAGAAGACCGAGGGAGGAACTTGGGTCGTATTTACGTTTTTCTCAATATGGTTTTAATTAGACACAGACTCGGCTCGTGACGCAACCAGAGATTTGGGCAACGTTTAGGAGGGGAGGGGAGGTTTGATGTTCACAGATCGTGCAAAGAATGACCCCTGGCACAGGTACAGCAAATGTCAGTTAAGGCAAGATCGTAAAGTCCCGTTCTCAGTCCTTTAACAAATGCACGTAGGCCTATTTCTTGTTCAATATAGAGGAAACCAAGGAATGTTAAAGCGTTTTATTAGTAGCCTACTGTAGCTGCATCTGTTTGGATTTTTAATCTCCAAGTTTCACAATGCATCTGAAATTGTAATATATTGTTACCATATTTGTGGAAAATTATCACAAAAGTTCAAATGTATTTCAATGTAAAACAAAAAACTAAATCGGAAGCAAATAAGGATACAAAGGCTACGTTAATTGCATTTACACTGTTGTAAATGTAGGCCTACACTGTCTTTTTGCGATTAGTTTTTTTTGTGTCCAGTAAGTAGCCTACATTATAAAGTAGTGTCACAGCCAGTGTTAAGTTTAATGCTTTACTAAGCAATTACTGTTATTTAATTACTTTTATCTTGAAAAAGTAAAGTAATGGATTACTCTTGTTTTTCTGTGATTTGTGACCCTGGACCACAAAAGCAGTCATAAGGGTCAATTTTTCTAAATTGAGATTTATACAGCATTTTAAAGCTGAATAAATAGGCTTTCCATTGATGTATGGTTTGTTATGATAGGACAATATTTGGCTGAGATACAACTATTTGAAAATCTGGAATCTGAGGGTGCAAAAAAATCTAACTATTGAGAAAATCGCCTTTAAAGTTGTCCAAATTAAGTCCTTAGCCATGCATACTACTAATCAAAAATTAAGTTTTAATATATTTTACAGTAGGAAATTTACAAAATATCTTCATGAAACATGATCTTTACTTAATATCCTAATGATTTTTGGCATAAAAGAAAAATCAATAATTTTGACCCATACAATGTATTTTTGGCTATTGCTACAAATATACCCCAGTGACTTAAGACTGGTTTTGTGCTCCAGGGTCACATTTAATTAGGCTACAGTTAATTCTGATGCAATTGCATTAAAAAGGCTATTGTACAACAATTCTATATAAAACAATAGTGAATTGACCATCAAAATTTAACATCTGGTGTTAAAAGGTGTTTTTTTATGTAACTTTCTCCCTGTTAACATGTAGATGTGGTGTGGATGCAATCTATCAGATTTAACAAGAAAACCTGCTGATTCATGATTCCAGTTCTGTCCTTTAACATCAATTTAGATGATCACAAATCAGAATGCAAGTGATCAAATAACATTAATTGATGTTACAAGTCTTAAAGGAAATCTGTAACTTGTACATGCTTCATCCTGCACTGCACTTAGATAAGGTCAGAGCTGTTCAAATGCTGTAGTTGTTTCCATAATTTAAACATAGGCAACAGGCCGGGCCATTATGTAGGTTTGTGTCTAAGGTTCCACAGTATGACTCTGAACTCGGGCACCGGTCCAATTGTGCATTTCTTTCTGAGAAAATGAATAGGCGTAATAAAAAACAGAAAACAATATCACGTCGAATCAATTTGCCTCTTTCATTCCACACACTATTCCCTTTCTCTCATCTTTTGGGGAGGTGATGTGTTGGTGGGGTAAATTATGGCAATTCTCATGGTGAGGCGCAAATAAACTCAGAGCGGCAGAAGTAACTGTTCTCTACTGAAGCGTGCAGCTGTGCCGAGACTCCCGCTGGCAGGCCGTTTAGGTGCTGTGCTCAAGTCGAGAAAGACTAATGCCGGAAAATATCTCGACCCAGTCTGCGGAAATTGATCTGCTCCTCAGGGGAAAAAATGACTGATTTTAATTTTGTCATGCCTCTCTCTCCCTCGCCTTTCTTAAAGTAAGCTGTGTTCTTCCACAGGCAATAGAGTGACAAAAATGGCTCAAGATAGGTGCACAGATGAGCAAAACTATTTTCTACAATATAGCCTTGATGTTCTCCCCCCCTGGATAAACTACATGCTGATGGACTTGAAATCAGTCCCCCACACATTCTGTTCAGTGCAATTCACAATCACCGGATGCAAGGCGGTCTGTAAATCCTGGAAATTCAGGATAGATGGTTGAGCTACTGTGTATGGATTTTTGGAGGCACCCCAAACCCAGCCTGATGCATGAGCAAGAGTATGATAAATGTGCTTCCAAATGCTGTGTCCTGATCCCTCTCACCTCGCGCTGCATTTGCACCAGCAGAAGTTCCATTTACCACTGAATAGATTTGCTGAGACACCCACAGTCCCCTTTTAAAATGAAGAGCAACTGGCCTTGTTAAGGGAGTCTCTCCAGTGGCTGTAATGTTATGCAAATGGTTTAATATGAAGATAAAGACTGTAGCGGCATGCCACGCTCTACCAGTTCAAGCCCCGGTGGATCCTCAGAGCCTTCACTAATGAGAGAGGGATTATTCTGGAGTCATTAAATGGTGCCCTCCCTGACATCTCTCCCCTCCTCCCCCGGTTATGCCCATTAATGCACTGTACACAGACTTTAGAGATACCTTTTACCACCGGCTTCTGGTTTTTTACACATCAGAATGTCACTGAATAGCAAATTACATTCTCTTCCCACAGAGAAAATTGCTTTTGAATCACTTATAAGGATTTTTATAAGGAGGGGGGAAACATGCAAAAACATAATTACTTGTGTTGAAAATCTCATTGGCAGTTGTTGCTGCTAGTTGCTCTGGAAATTTATTTAAGGAATTATGCGGAAATGCATCTGTGTGTGTTTTTGGTTGGATATGCACAAGAACATGTACAGAAACTGCGCTCTTATTGACCAATACTAGTGAATTAAGTATAAAGTAACTGACATATCGCACAAGCTAGACAAGCTAGCTAAAATGGGTGAGATTTGGTGAGATAGCTTAAGCACTAATATCAAAGAACAGCAGGTAATATCTGATTGGTTCTCAATTGCCGATACTGAACAACACCAGCCACACTCTTAGAAATATAGTTTCTTTATTGGCATTGATGTTTTCATGAAGAACCTCTAACTTCTATAAAACCTTCACATTGAGCAAAAAAGTTCTTCAGATTAATATGTTCTTCACAGAAAAAAAATGGTTCTTTAAAGATCAGTTCACTGAAAGGTTCTTTGGGGAACCAAAAATGGCACTGTTGTGAAAAGGTTCTTGAAAGTGGAATATAGGTTTTTCAGATAATGAAAATCAAATAATCAAAATGTTCTTTGTTCACTGAAAGGTGCTTTGAGGAACCAAAAATTGTTCTTCTACCCTCTTGAAGGTTCTAAAAGAAGATTTTCGCATAGATATGTATAGATGCCACATTTGACCTCTCCAGATGTGTTGATGTGTCCGCCATCTTGGAATGGTCTATGTCATCGCTCACAATAATCAATG